TCACCTTCACACTCCTATGTACTACTTCCTTGGAAACTTGTCCTGTTTGGAGACCTGCTATACATCAACTCTCCTTCCCAGGATGTTAGCCAGCTTCCTGACAGGGGATAGAACTATATCTGTTGGTGGCTGTTTCACTCAGCTTTATTGGTTTGGATTCCTAGTTGTTGCTGAATGCTACCTGTTGGCTGCTATGTCCTATGATCGCTACTTAGCTATTTGTAAGCCCCTCCACTATGCCACTCTTATGAATGGGAAACTCTGCTTTCTCTTGTCAGCTGGGTCCTGGCTATGTGGGATTACAGTTATGACAATAGTAATAAGTTTAATGTCACAACTATATTACTGTGGTCCCAGTGAAATTGATCATTTCTTTTGTGAATTGACACCAGTGATTAATCTATCTTGCAGTGACACCACTTTGGTGACACTGGTGGGTCTTACAGTCTCAGCCATAGACACTATTCCTTCTTGTCTCTTGACACTGATGTCTTATGTGTGTATAATAGCCACCATCTTACGGATCCCATCTTCAACAGGGAGGAAAAAGGCCTTTTCAACCTGTTCTTCTCACCTTATTGTGGTTTCTATATTTTATGGATCCTTAATATTTGTATATGCACTTCCAAAAAGGAAAGCTCTGCGGGAAGTGGACAAAATCTTTTCAGTCTTCTACACAGTCTTAACCCCTCTAATCAATCCCCTTATCTACAGCCTAAGGAACAAAGAGGTGAAGGAATCTTTACGGAGGATCATAAGCAAATGCAGAAGCTTTGCCCACACATCCGTGTAAGCCAAGATATTCTTTACCATGACATTGTGAATATGCAGGTTTCCAGAGTGAAGTTCACATCTTCTCTGTTCCTCCTGAGTATTTTAACCACAGCAAAGCAGGACAGTTGTGCTAAGGTTTGCCTCAGTGTTTCATTATGCTAGAGTTTATGGTTAATGTTACTAATCATAGCCTATTGGCTATACATCATGGTTAAGGAGAGACCTTAACTACTGTTCCCAGTTTGGATGACAAACTGAAGCACAATCCTTAGCTTAACTGCCATGCCACACTGTTGTTATACAGCAGGTATGAATTCCTCTCTGGGAGCCAGCTTGGGCTTGGGCATGGGCTTCTCTGCATGCCATGGCCACTGCCAGCCTGAGCCAGGTAAAGAGGCTCATGGGAGTGGCAGTGGCAGCCCCGCACACCTGTGCACCTCTTTCCCCTGCTCCTGCTGGCAGCAGCTTGGGCTGGCCTCTTTTTTGCTGTTCAATATATGGCAAACCTACCTAACAAGAATCCCATGTTTTTCATTAAAGGCATGCTTAGGTGATTGCTGTTGCTGTAGCAGCAGCTGCTTAAGGGGGCTTTTTTATTGATGGAGTTACATACTGATATTTGCTAGTCCTTTATTTCTGTGATGACTGGGATGGCACCAAACAGATTAAATAGGAACATAATAATTGCTGGAAGTACAAAATTCCTGTGATTGACATATTTCAGATCATATGGTCATGCAGGAGAATTCAGATATATTTGAGTTTACTTCTGAGTGAAACAAAGGATATTTTGGGTTATGATCTTCCCAATGACCCACTAGTGATATTGTTTCAATATCTTAAGGATAGAGTTCAGAAGGATAATATTGGAAATTGTTAACTGCAGGAAGAAGGATTGAATGCCAAAATCTCAATAGATTGTTGGTTAACTAATATATATGGTTAATCTATTGAATTTAATCAGAACCAGAGATGGACAACAATGTGAAGACAAATAAGTGGAGAAATAGAGTGGAGAAATAATAAAAAGCAGGATTTAGTGAATGTGTATTTGGGATACATTAAAGTATATAAAATAGAAAGGATGGAGGGAATCTTATGGCAAGATTCACTGGGTTGAGTGAGTTAGGATGTGGTGGATCTTCAGCTCAGCCAGTTGATTCCCAACTCAGCTGGGCTGAGACCAGTGTAATTCCCACCAAAATGGGCATGCTGGGGCATGGCGGTGACAGAGCTAGGCATGACGTGGAAAGATGGATAATACAAGTCAGGTTATTTTTTAAAAGCTTGTTTTCCTTCTGACAGGCGTGGGTTGGCAGCTGCCTTGCTCCTGAACAGAGTATGGTTTTGACATAACTTTACACTGGGTTAACTTATGCTGGCTTGCTTTATACCAGCCTCTTGTGTATAAGATTGCTCTCACAGAAAATACGAGTACTTTATCATTTTATTGTAAAATGGCATACATAGTCAATGCAGTGTACAATTCAATAGGCAATGGATGTAACAGAAGGCTTTGTAGTAGGAATTTTATAAGGTGATAGTATTGTGATTTGTATTGCATATCATGCAGGAATCTGGCACTCCTGTTCCATATTCTCTTTTATTACAGTCATCCACTATGTACTTTGCCTTCTTCCTACAATTATGCTGTCTCCGAGCTTTCTTCTTTTTTATTTTTCCCACCATTGAGGACCATGTCTTACAAAAAATCCTTGTTTATTTTTTCTCATTTCCCCCCATCCTGTCCAGTCTATCCCTGTATATATCATTTGTTGTTCCTTGCTTTTGTCTTATCAACTTATATTATGTGTGATGCTTTCATGAAAAGGACATTGTTTTCTTTTCCTAGCTTGTAATGAAATCTAAAAAGATTGTTATGGTAGTTATATAACCTATTATTCTGTTTTGTAATTATTATTTTATAAACTTATTTTATTTTTCCCCAAGGAAGGTCTAGCAGGGTTCAAAATGCTTATTAAATCATTTGCTGTTCACCTTACTGCTTTTGCGTCCAGTTCCTCTTATTTTGGGGCGGGGTCACATTTTTGTGGGACATTGTCTCCTAAAAGGCAGGTTGACCGCCATAATTTTTCTTATTCCAATGGTAGATAACAATTCAGTGACACTGATATGGAACACATAGAGAAGCTTCTATGTTCATGCAACAGATTAAGCAAAAATATTTTCTTCACATTGGTTAAACTACAGCTGGGTCAGAAGGAAATAATGAAGTTAGCTGGATATCATTTGAGATGGCCAGAAATATTTATTCACTCACTCACTCAACATAGAGGGGTGATTCTAAGAAGTTTTCTCTGATGGAGGAATGTCTTCTATTCATAAGAAGGTGTTTTTTGCCAGAAGTGCCTTACTCTGCCAAACAATTCATTGGATCTAACCCAGACATTATCCTATATTAGTTCACAATCAGAAATTCTTTATTCATTCTACCCAAAGCTGCTGTGGGAAAATGTACTTCTCCTTACAAAACTAAACAACTGACAGATAAGCTTACTCATAGCTACCTTTATCTCTCTGTTTCTCAGGCAATATACAATGGGATTGACAATGGGGGTTACAACTGTATAAAAGATGGAGAAGACCTTGTTCAGATCTTTCAATGTGTTTGTTTTGGGAAACATGTAGACAATGACAAGGGTTCCGTAGAAAACTATAACCACTGTTAGATGGGATGAACAAGTGGAAAAGGCCTTTCGTCTCCCTGTGTTTGATGGAATTCTTAGGACAGTGGAGATGATCAAACCATAGGACACCAAAATCAAAAGAAATGGGGCTAGAGCTATTAGGGAAGAGAGGAAGAAAGCCATTAATTCCATCTGTTGTGTATCACCACAGGCAAGCTTTATAACTGGGGTGAAATCACAGAAGAAATGATCAAGAATATGAGGACCACAAAATGATAGCTGGGACATCAAATATGTTGTTATAGTGTTAAGTAGAAAACAGCTTGCACATGATCCCATCATAATCTGTATGCACAATGTATGATTCATTAAGGCTGAATAATGAAGAGGCTTGCAAATTGCTAAATACCGATCGTAAGACATAGCAGCCAGCAGATAACATTCTGAACCCACAAGAGAGCCGAAGAAATAATATTGTAAAAAACAGCCCCACATAGGAATTGTCCTCTCTCCAGTCAAGAAACTTGCTAGCATCCTGGGTACTATGGTTGAGCTGTAGAAGGTCTCCAGGCATGAAAGGTTTCCCAGAAAGAAGTACATGGGGGTATGGAGATGCTGGTCACACATGATAAGAACAACAATCAGAAGGTTTCCAGTCATGGTCGCAGTGTAGATCAGAAGAAGCATCAAAAAGAAAATTAACTGTAGTTCAGGAACATCACTAAATCCCAAGAGAATGAATTCTGAAAAGTCTGTCTGGTTCATCCAGTTCTGGGTTCCCATTGCATTTACTATGCATGAATAACAGAAACAAAAGTACACTCGTGAAGATAACCATATACACAGTTCTTAAAAAATCGAATCTGTTCATGGATCTTTTAATAGATCAAAGATGGATGAAATCTGTAAGAAACATGGCAAATTAAGAGGTTAGATGAAATAATTCCACAGATGTTGCAAAACTAACTCTTTAATACAGGAGTGACCCACCAAAATGTTCTATTTGACATGGGTCTGTAACCTTGCCTCTACCTTCTTAGGAGAATGAGGTATGAAGCAGAGGATGGGCTATGCATGCAGTTTAATGTCAGCCAGACATTGCAGAGTTCAAGAGGGAGCATGTCTTCTCAAAGACAGGATATATATCCATAAAATAAACATTATCAGTCTCATATAAACGTTAATATTTCACATACTGTATATATAGAATTTGGGCAAAAAAATCAGTTGATCTGAGAAAGCAGACCTTTGCATGTTCATAACTCGATGAACATGTTGAGATTGGCTTGGAAGTGTCTTCTAATGAAGGGTGGTTTTATCAATTAACCTTGTAATCACAATATTATTATTTGCTAACTTAGTTGATTGTGGGACCTTATTGGTTCCTGCTACTTTGGTAACTGTGTGTGAATAAAAAATATTGAATTTTGCAGAAATTCCAAACTTATGAAGCTGCCTCATACTGACTCAGACCACTGATCCATCGAGATGAGTATGGTCCATTCTAGCTGGTAACAGCTCTCTGGGGTCTCAAAGGTCTTTCACAACACATGTTGCCTGTTCATAAAGTAATCACAGAATGGGTGGTATGCCAGGGGTTGAAACTGGGACTTTCTGCATGCTCTGCCACTGAGCTACACCCATTTTTTGTGACAATGGTAACCAATGCTTCTGTTGCATTCAGCCTGAAAATAACATCTATAGAGATTGTTATGTGGATTCCATAGGTGTACACAGAACTCAGCCCTTATCATATTTATTCTGCTTTTCAACAAAGGTTGATCTCAAAGTGGCTCACAGTAACAAGAGTGTTAAAAAATGATCACTATGATCACTATAATATCAAAAACAATAATTTAAACAAAACAATTCATCAAAACAATGCAATTCAATGCAATCTCATAGTGATTCAAAATAACAGGAATAGCTGCTGAACACCAACCCTGTGCCAGTTGGCATGCTCTCTCTTAGAAGAGGCTTCCTCATTCAACAAAACACTCCCAAGCTGCAAGTTATGTCATAGTTTTTCACCCACAAAGAGAGAAACTGGTTACTTCTATGTTGCATTTGGAGTGGTGGTGCAATAGGTTTCATAATAGACTCACACTGTCTATGGTGTCTTTCTTCCATGTGGGATATTTAAGACGACTCCTTTCCACAGTCCATTTGTAGGAGTGTACTGGACTTTCTCTCTCCTCATAGGGGGCACAAGCCTCACGCAAAGAGTGATAGGACAACATTCCTTCAGTTCTTGCCCTTTGGCTTACACCACAGAAGCTTCTAGCAAACCCTTAAGAGCAACCAACAAGTCCTGCTTACAGTTAACCCTACTAAAAGTCAATACTCATCAAGCTCTGTATGCACCATGAGCCTCTACATGAATGATCCATGTACCCTATTGATGGGTAAAAACAAGTGGCTGATTTTTCAACTTTGAGCACTTATTTCAATCTAGACATACAGAAGTTCTTCAGAACTAAATGTTGAACCAGTTCTAGTGGCTTAGTAAGCAGAACAAACGTTTGATGTAAAATACTCTTGAATCATGATTTCTAGTGAACTAGATATCACTCTCTTATTAAACTCATGGTTGCTGTTATGCTGAAGACCAAAATTCTAAATGTATTAAATATACAGGTCATTTAATAAGTTCCTCATTTCTGCATTAACATACATTACTGGAAATAATGCTCCATTCATGTCCAAGATAGGACACAGTTAGAGCTTCTATTGCATTTTTCATAATTTTGCTAAAGGAGCAAAATTCCTACCGCTTCTGAGGTGTTATTGGTGCATTTGATTGTTTTGATTACAGCATCTTTCCAGTGTTAGAAAAAAGTGCAGTGTATCCCACAGAGCACGCGGCCTTTATAGATTTGCAAAAATAAGAAAAGAAACACTCCCAGTTCATTGCTATATACTCATTTTAATTGGTGTCACTTGTGTAGGCAACTTTAACTTGAGGTGCCTAAGGAATTCATTACCTACATTACATCTACACTAATGAAAGCTGCAATAGTGAAAAATGGGTATTCATGGGGGAAAAAACTATGTTTTTGGTCAGTTGACAAAGACTCTCCTCCTGAAGAGAGGGGAGTGGTTGTGGGCGGGAGCCCGAGCCCCGCCTCTAGCAGGGGGCATTAGCCCCCTGCCTCCCACTTACCTGGCTGGGCCCACGCCCATCAGCAGGCACCCAACCAGGTGCCTCTCAGATCAACTGATTTTTTTTGCCCAAATTCTCTCTCTCTTTCTCTCTCTCTCTCTCTCTCTCTCTCTCTCTCTATATTAAAAAAATAATATTTATTGATAATTTCAGAATTACAAGAAAAATAAAAAACAAAAAACAACACTACAATAAAAAAAGAAAACAATAAAAAAGAGAAAAGCACAAAATATAAAAACCAATACGACAATACAGCAAAAGAAAAAAAAGAAGAAAAAAGAAAAGAAAAAACACAAATCCCAAATTGCATATCCATAATTTCCATTTGCTTGTTTCATTGACCTCCTCACACCTCCGTTTTTGTGTTCTAGTTTAGTAATTATTTCAGCAAATTCTTTCCATCTTTCTCAATTTTTGTTATAAAATTTATCTTAACAATTTAACCTAATAATTAACTCAACAAATCCTTACCATTTCCCCCCATATTCTGTTATTCAGATTACCTTAATTTATTTAACCTTATCTTACCCCTAAGTACCTTAAGACTTAAATCTTAGTTTTCAAATATACATAGCTCCTGATATCATTTCTGCTAGAGTCGTATAGTTTCATTCCCACATTTTCCCTAATATTCATTAGCTGATTCTAAAATAAAAAATTTCCATTATAAATTCTCTTCCAATCATCATCCAGCGTCTCTTCTTCCTGGTCTCGGGTCATGTCAGTCCTTATTGTCCATTCCATCTAGTCCATCAACCTGGAAGCCTTATGTCCGAGGCCCTTAAATCTCTTCCATGTCCCTTCTGCAATTCTTCTTCATCTTGTTTGTGCTTGCCCTTTTCCTTGTCTTTTGTTGGTCTCTGTCTTAGTTTCTTTCCTTTCCCATTGAGGAGTAGGTCTCTGAGGGATTCCAACCCAAAATTGTCTCCATCACCCTTCATCCAGCTCGTCCATTCCCCACAGTCCCACTCCCCACAGTCCTCGATATAATCGAAAATGTATTTAAAATCAAATTTCAAAGTCTCTCCAAAGCTAGGAACCTCCTCATCTCCAGACTCCCCTTGGCCTACTCCAACTTCAATCTTCAATAACAGCGGTTTATGCTCCTGTAGGGCCTCGGGTCTCTCCATTTGTACTATTTGAGGTGCAGCCGCATCCTCCTCCATTGTCATCTGCACTTGCCCAGTCAGTACAGATTGATAGGTTGGTTCTTGGATGATTTCTGTATCAATGTTATTAACCACAACAGTCAAATCCATTTTCTCATTCATCAAGTCCATCTTCTCATGCATCTGTTCCAGCAAAGCATTTATCTTGCATAAAGCAAGCACCCAGTTTTTCTCCCAGCTCATCTTTGTTCAAGGTCAGAAAAGACTGTTCCCACAGTCTTAATCTCACAGAAGTTGGGTCTCATATATGCTGCAGCAACAATTTAGCAAGCTCCCTCTAGAGGAGACAATCTACTTGTATCCATTTATTTTTTTTTGAAGACAAAGGAAAGTTACTTTCCTTTTTCAGATATTTCAGATGTTTTTCAGGTATTTTGTTTCTTTAAAATGCAAAAGGCAACATTAGAATCAACTTGTTTCTCTTCATTAGCTATCTGTCAAAGTGTTACGTTCACAGTCAATGAACCTCTCCAACAGTTTCTGTCTCTGACACCCCGTTCCCAGGTTAGAGACGGTGGAAATTTATCCTTCTTCACTCCCTCTCCTGCTGGGGTTAAACAGAGTCCCCCCCCCTTTTCTCCTGCTTCCAAGGGGGGTTTCAGTGATTCTAAATGTAGGAAATTTAGTCTTTTTTAACAGTTTCCCGGCTTTAGCTTGCAAAATTTTTGCTTTAGTCTATATACAAAAAAGCGGAAGGCGGACTTCCTGTTTGCACCTTCCCACTTCGATACCAAATTAAAACAATTTCTTGATCCAATTTTCCGTTTCTACTCACGGGTACTTGTTTTAAGTCCAATTGTCCACAGGAAAAAGTCAGCGCTCTCTGGCAATGGCTGTGCGGCTTCACTCCGTGAAAGTAGCAGTCAGTTCGTAGCACCGCACTTCTCACCGCACTTCGCTCCGGAGCCCCTAGATGGGATTCCCCGCGAGTAGGGGGGCGCTTCTGGTGCCCTGCCGAACCCCACATTCCCAGGCTTCCTCCGCCTGGGATTTCTAGCGGGTCCCCACCTTCGCCGCGGCGGGAAGACCCAGTTTCCACAGAGCCCGTTCCTCCAGTCGGAGGAACTCCGCCATTCACCAATGGCGCTGACCCGGAAGTCCAAATTCTATATATACAGTATGTGAAATATTAACGTTTATATGAGACTGATAATGTTTATTTTATGGATATATATCCTGTCTTTGAGAAGACATTCTCCCTCTTGAACTCTGCAATGTCTGGCTGCATGCATAGCCCATCCGTTGGGTGCGCTTTATGAATGGCCAAGTCATTTCTCATGACCGTATCCGGATCCTTGACCAGGCCTTGTACCGGAATGACGGGGTTCATCTCTCAGACCGGGGGAATGACATTTGATTAGATAGCGTCATCAGCAGCATTAGGGATTGGTTACAGCTGTGAGGGTATTGGCGGCGAGCCCCTTTAGGGCTCGGGTGGTGGATAGGCATTGGAATAAGGTGTCGTGGTGTCGAAGGGCTAGGTGTGGCCATCGCCTATGCCTTCAATTTTTGGGTATTCCGTTAAAGGAATCTGGCGGTCGTGTATTCTGTCTGATGCCTGCCTGGCGGGAGGCCATGGCACGACCCTCGGTGACATCAGCGGAGAGCCTATAGTTGGATTAGAATCAACAGGCTCCACCTACTGGTGAATAAACCCCCCTGGTTTCAGACTCACCCCTCTCTGAGGGGGTGGAATCAGCTGACGTAATCCAATGCCTAAGCCAATACCTTTTCACTTGCTGTAATCAATAAAGTTGTGGCCTTTTCTTGCCCATTAACCTTATATCACGTGTCCTTGTGTATTCATTCCACTTTGGGGGGGGGATCGGGTCCTCAAACCACAAAACTGAATTATATTGTATAGATTCATAAGAGACTCTAAATGAGTAGTTAAGTTGCAACCTGTACACAAACTTATTTTGAAGTAAGACCCGCTGAGGCTAGTAGGGCTGACTTCTAAGTAAAATTATCTAAGATGTATATCATATCATTGAATTGCTTTATGACATAAAACCATTGTCTTGTTTCAGAGCAGAGATGGGGAAAAAATTAATTCAGTTCACATTTAAAGACAAACCCATCTAATTCACACATTCTGAAAAATATGTGAATCCAAACATTGGCATCCCTTGAAATTTGTATTTCTTCAAATTTTGCAATGGAACTCCCGGCCAAGTAGTGTGCATAAAAATGCATTCAAATGCACACGTGAGTGAAAGTAACATACACCCTTCAGGTTCTCCTCCTCTTTTCCTCCAGGTTCTTCTCCTTCCAGCACCATGTAAAGTTGGACCATTCTGCTTAACATCAGTTAAGTGAGAGGTTCTGACCCTGCATGGTGCTGTTTCTTCATGAGTGACTCATTCATTAAAGAGCTGCTCATAGGGAAGAAGCTACCAGGTGGGAGGATCTGATGTGGCAACCATCCTTTCCTGTCTTTTTTTGTTTTGTTTTGTTTTTAGCATTTTAGCACTGCTCCATGAATTGCTTCAGGAACAAATCCAGGGTATGGTAGGTAGCCACCGGGGTAGCTCAGAGCAAATAGGCCCAATCTGGGGGATACAGATCAAGGCCACACAGGGCAGATTGTGGGACCTATGCACAGGCCTACTTAGTACTAAGTAGACATGTATAGGATTGCACAGTAAATGGTTTGAGAACCTACTCTGGAATGACACTCTTACTGTTTGAATTCTGTTTCCGTTTTATTCAAGTGAAGTAACTGAGTAATTGAACAAGTGGGTGGATATGATGGTTCATTGTAAGATAATTCACAACATAAGACATATGCACTGCCTACCCCCACCCCAGAATAAAGACTTGCACACAGGAAAGTTGGACTAAAGGGTCAAACTTTATTAACAGAACAAAAACATTTGCAGCTGGGTTCTAAACACATGTGGGATGAATTTTTGCATACAGCAAGGGAATGCCAATAGCCTTTGGACAACAGCATCCCAGTAAAAGCCCAAACCTTAGCTTCAGAGCTAGAAGAGGTTCATATTGCCACCTAGCACAGCTGTGAGATGACAGGAAACCTGTTTCCTCACACTGTCCAGCATTCAGCTGGGTAGACCTCCAAGTTCCAGGATCATCAGACCAAGCGACAAGTCACTGTAACCAGCTGGCAATGTGAGGTGGTTGGTGCCTCAGGGAGCTTACATTATGGGCATGAGCTAGCTGCTATATTCTGGAAGATCAGCACTGCATAGAACTAAAGAACCATAGAACCACAGAATCATAGAACTGTAGAGTTGGAAGGGACCCTGAGAATCACCTAGTCCAACTCCCTGCAATGCGGGAATCCTGCCCACAGCCATTCCTGGCTGGCTTGTACCACAGATGCACTGACCCATTGCACCACATGACCCGCATCAGCTTATCTGGAAGACCTAGGCACCCAAAGGAAAATATAGGAAACAGTGTTGTGGTCTCTTATGTGGTAAGGAATACATTTGCTGCTACTAAACAGCAGTGTTTCAAATGTCATTTGAAACACTGCTGTTTAGTAGCAACAAATGTATTCCTTACTAAATCTGTCTGAATTGATTTGTGTTTAAAGCTGCTTGTGATAGGAAGAAATATGTTCCCCATTCACAAGTCCAGAGCATGTGCATGAGGTTGTACATAGGTGCGATTGCATTTTTGTCATAATCACATACATATTAATTGAACGTCTCAGGCGAGGCTGTATATGCAATTTAGCATTCTAATTCAAACAAGTCACTTTTATATGAAAGCAAGGTATGATCATGGTAGCCATCTCATTGAAACAGTAGCAGCAGTTTGTACATTTTTATTTAAATAAAAAAGACCCTCCAGATGTTGCCAAACTGCTTCTCCCATCACCCCTGATCATTATCCATGGTAGCTGGAACTCATGTAAGTTGAAGTCCAACCAGTTCCCCATTCCTGGAGTATACAGAAGAAAGCCTGATGATGCTTATGATCTATCGACAAAATATCTCACAGCTTTCTTTAATGCTTGTTTAATGTCTTTATTTCTCAGGCTGTAAACGAAAGGATTCACCAAGGGTGTTAAAACAGTGTAGAAGACAGAGCAGACCTTGTTAAGGTCTCTAAGTGTTCTGGTTTTTGGTAATACGTATACAATGACTATAGTGCCATAAAAGAGTGTAACCACAATGAGGTGTGATGAGCAGGTAGAAAATGCTTTCTTCCTTCCTAAAGTGGATGGGATCCCCATAATGGTTTTTATGATGCAGCTGTAGGAAATAAGTGTTAAAAGAAATGGCACCAATCCAAACAGAGCTGACAGAACAAAAATCAGCAGCTGTATTTTCAGGGTATCGTTACAAGACAGTTGAAGTAATGGTGCAAAATCACAGAAGAAGTGGTCGATTTCATTAGGTCCACAGAATATTAAGTGCATCATTGAAGAGGTCGTTAAAGTATTAACGATGAATCCAATGACCCAAGAACCACTTGAAAGTTGCAGGGAGAACCTGACATTCATAATGGTCATATAATGCAATGGTTTGCAGATTGCTAGATACCGATCGTAAGACATAGCAGCAAGCAGATAGCATTCTGCAGTAGCCAAGGCACCAAAGAAATACAGTTGCATGAAACAAGAATTCACAGACATAGACTGGTTCCCAGTTATGAAACTGTTCAGCATTCTGGGCAAAATAGTTGAGATGTAGCACGACTCTAAAGAAGACAAATTTGCTAGGAAGAAGTACATGGGAGTGTGTAGGTGTTGATCAGCTGCAACTAAGATAACAATCAAAAGGTTTCCCAACATCGTCACAAGGTAAATCACTAGAAATACCAGGAAAAGGAGCTGAAATGAATTGATATTTCCAAATCCAAGGAGGATGAATTCTTTGACCATTGTTTGATTGTTCCATTGTTTATTATCCATGAAATGCTCCTCAGGGTATTTCAAGGAACTGCAAAAGGCAATAGGTAGAAATACGGGTTTCATCATTCAAATCTGATACATAACATTTAATATACAAGTATGACTACACCCTGAGTTTTTATGTGCATGTGCACAAGTGTGTGAATGTGGAGATCATTCTTTTAATAAGCAAGTTCCTCGGTTCAGCAGATGAAAGGAACAGATTATTTATTGTTTTCTGATGAAGTTTGGTTTTTTTTTATAAAACATAAATCTCTTTGGTTTTCTGCTATTCTTTGGATATTATGAACAGACTAAATGTAGCCCTATACAGTGGTACCTCGGGTTACAGATGCTTCAGGTTATGCATTTTCGGGTTGCGCACTGCGCTGAACCCAGAACGGGTACCGGAACGGGTTACTTCTGGGTTTTGGCGCTCACACATGCACAGAAGTACTAAATCGTGTTCTACATGCGCAGAAGTGCTGAATCGCGACCCGCGAGTGCGCAGATGGTTCCACTGCACATGTCTCCTGAGAAGTCCCAAAGAGTCCAGAAAAATATGTATAGTGAAGTATAATACCAAACAGCTTCTAGAAAAGGAAACATAATTTTCTCTAATTATTTTATAGGTGAGACACAGGTGACATCAGTGTAGATTTTAAACAAATATTAGCGGTACTTTGAAACTTACTCGCTTGCAAAAAAGGGGGGGGGAATGAAGTTGTACAGATTACCTTTTATGAAATAAGCAAATATTTACTCAGAGAAGGCCCACTGAAATGAATGGACTTATTCATGTTCATTCATTTCAGCAGGTCTATTCTGAGTAAAACTTAGTTTAATGAAACCCATTGTTCATGACTTCCGTTTGTTGTTCCTTATTTGTCTCTGTCAGAAGCAATTCAAAAAATCTAGTTGCCTATGGAAATTGACAGTACTGCACTCAGATAGCACTAACACATGTGCAATAAGAGTAAGTAAAGCTTATTGGATCTTAAGTGCACTTAAGTACCATTTTAAGTGCTACATGTAACCACATTTCTCTTCTATTTATGTTTTTCTCATATTACATGAGTATGGTCTTTCAGGTCAAATACAAAGACAAATGAGCACTTTTGTATCATTATTTAAATATCTTCTATTTCAATTTGGTAAGCATTTGCCCAATCATCTAAAATTGGCAAGTTCATTCAAGTTTAGCAACATATTTAAAAGGTAATGGTGATTTCATTATTATAATGAGATGGCATGTTTTGCTTTTAGGCCAAATTATCATGAATATCTTATCTGAAGATGCTGCATCATATCCCTCCTTTGTGCTACATTAAGGCTTTTAATTTACATCCTCACAGCCTACACTACAGTCTAACCAGCAGAGTCTACAAACTCTTAGAGTGAAACCAGCTGTCTCCATTTTTATTTGTTACCCTGTCTTGAGATTCAAGTAGAATCCAGTTGTTGGGCACCATCAAGCAGCCAGCTTTGCTCCTTGTAGATCCCGCATGGGCGGCTAATCAAATGTGAACAAAGAACTTCGAATAAAATCACCTTATTTTTCCCCCTTCTGAATTTAGTCACAATGATCCAGATCACATTTGCAACAACAGTACCCCAACAACCATAGTTACACTTCTTTCTTTCTAGAAACGAAAAATGAATGATTTTACAGGACGAAAAATGAGCTGCCCTCAACAGGCAACATTATATCCTTATGAAACTGTCATGCTTGGAGGTTTGTGGACTGCTCTACTGTGATGTCAACCACAAATCTGTTTACATTCAACACGCTAGGGAATTAATTAAGGTAAATGTATGAAGAGAGGGAATTATTAAGGTCTAGTTGCAGATATCCAGAAATCCCAAAGAGGAAGACCCAGAATTCCCAAAGCTAGCATCAGTATTTTTGTTTAAATAATATATGCATAGTAAATAAATTTACATCAGGCATAAGAGAGTCTCCATTGATTATTTTAATAAGCAAGTAGGCTCTTATGGGATACATATGAGAATCAGTGTGGTGTAGTGGTTAAAGTATTGGACTAGGTCCTGGAAGACAGGGTTCAAATCCCAGCTCAGCAATGAAGTGGGTGACCTTGAGCCAGACACTTTTTCTTGACCTAATCTAGTTCAGGGTTGGTTTGAGCATAAAATGGGAAGAGAGAGTTCTATGTTTGCGACCTTGAACTTCTTGGAGGAAATGTGAAATTTAAATGTAATAATAAAGAAAATAAAAATAAAAATATGAGTGAAGGTGGTCTTTCGCATATGCCTATCCTAAATATATGTCATAGCCAGTTCTTTTGTTCTTCAAGCCATTAAGAAGCAAGTTGAATTCTGTCTTCTTCTTTTTCTCATAATATTTTATTAAAGCTTTTTCATAATACAGTAAGATAAAGGAAACTAATCTAAATAAAACAGAGAAAGGGAGAGAGAGAGAAAACACAGAGACCTCTCTCAAAGGCAGCACTTAACCCTTGTCATGCACATAAGGTGGTGAACCCTCCCAGCTTTCATCTGGGAACTCTTCATCTCCTCCCAGTCTCTCACTCTGGGATATCTTCTCTTCCCCACCTCTCACTCAGGGTCTTTCCACCAACCGTCCACTGCTTTCATGTGTGTGCCATCATTGGGCACTAAGTTTGGGGGCATTGCCATCTGGATTTGGCATTACTAATATGGCCACCTTCCCAAAGAATTCAGTCTGAATTTGAAATTGGTCTGAAAACACTAATGAGGTGGAAATACTGTGGTGCAGAAGCTTTAGCCAGCTGGGGCATGACTGCAACTTCTAGGGTTCATGTAGTGGAGTGTATTTTGAAACATATCTCACTAGGATTAACCATTTCAGTTAATTATATATGTGCTAAACTAAGACCAATTTTCTATGCAAAATGGTACCCAAATTGTAAGATAGCTTCTACTACTCTGCTGCCTCTTTTTGCATGTAGTCAAAAGTGTCATTCTTTCAGGGATGTTAGGCAGACTGAGGTTGCTGCATCAAGTGGCAGATACTGAGAGACAGGAAGTGGTGTTCAAGGACAGAGTTGTGTGTGCTACTGAGCCCAAATTATCCTGCTGCCTTGAGGTGTCCTAGAAGCTGCTAGCTTATTGCCATTATTAAATATTCAACTGTCTATGCAGTTGACGTCTTTACGTGCAATGGTGTGTGTGCGTGCACATACACATCTTGTTGTCTGCTGCAGGTAACTGAAAGAGTTCTTAGGTGGGACTGAAAAGACCATATTTCCTACAGCATCTTGGCATCAGTTTCCATCAGAGGAGAGAACACCAGAGACTTTTAGTTTATCTCTTATGACCTCTTTATTTACACTCTTTATTTACACTTGTTGAGAAGCAAATATTTAGGCACACAAGTTGTAGCATGGCTGGGGAAACCCAGCCAGATGGGTGGGGTATGAATTATTTGTTATGTACTGATGTTCTCACCCTGGGCCAGCAGGGGGATACTGTAGATAGTTATGCAAATGAAGGGTCGAAAGTAACGTTCAATGATTGGATAGTTTGTATGCGAATGAAGGATCGAAAAGTGACCTTCTGTGATTGGATAGTTTTAGAAAGTTGCAACAGTTACAATTGTTCTGGAGCTCTATATAAGCAGGCTGACTGAGCTCCTCAGTGAGTTCTGTTCCAGCTTACAAATAAAGAGCTGCTTTGGAAGAATCGCTGTGTCATCTGATATGTTTGCCCACAACTACTTCTTCTTCTTCTTCTTCTTCTTCTTCTTCTTCTTATTATTATTATTATATTGACCAGGAACTACCTGTATCATCTCTCAGGCACTGTGTGCTTGTGTCAGTTGTTTCTCACTTCATAACAATTTGTATTAAAGTTGTTTTTGTTATGCATCCTCTCTATGGCCTTACTTACCTTCACGATAGTTTTCACCAGAAATATTAGTCCGGCTTTTCTTTTTGGCAAGAAATGGTAGGTGAATGGGATACATTTCTGAAAATGACAAAGACACCTTTGTCATTAGATTAAGTGGTTTTGCATATTCTTTTCCTTTGCTCAAAAATAAGAAGAAGCATTTGGGTGGTTGGGGGCTGCACTCTACTGCACTACTTGATCTGAATGACTGTGGGAATGATGGCACATAATAATGTCTTTTTTTCCCCTTTGGGAATTCTAGGAAAGGTGGAAGGCTATAGCGAGCTTCACTAACCATGAGGCCTTTTAAACTATAAAGAGGCCTCCCACCCACATTTCCCAGAAAAGAATACCCATGGGAATTCTGGAACTGGAAACATGATGGGGAGTGTGTACAAGCCTCATACTAACTCAGAGTCACTACATGTGCAAAAAGAACATAAAGATTATCCCACTTTGTTTAAACTAAGGTAAGGCATCCACCACATTATTTTCCTCAAAAACTTCTCCCCTC